CAAACCCCAATTTACACGATTGAGTGTATGCATTTGATGTTGAAAAAAAAATATATATTAGTGGAGACTAGCCAATTGCCACGTAAACCACAGCTAATCAATTTTCTAACCAATAATAACGTGAACATAATTGCCCCCCATCCAGAAGTGTCTCATCAAATCCAAGTTGTAATATTTTTTTACATAATTAATTAGTCCATCCACCCATAGGCCGCAATAGTATATTACTATATTTATTGCATATATAGGAAAGAATGGCATCATATCATATCGTCTCCAATTCTCCATCTATAAATTAAAGCAAACGAACACCGCAGTGCGTACATCCTGCGATGCTCCGCCTTATGGGTTTACCATCCTTAACCTTAAACTATTGTATCCTATGTTTTCTACTGGTTTATGCGGCAGCTTCTGGTGTGGAGAACGAGAACCAAAAAGTAGTAGTATGTCCATTCCGTAGCATATACCAGTTTGGTGCTTCCCTCCACGACACCGGAAACTTGATACGAGTGGGTGCCATTGGTCCAACCCTGCCGGCTGCTCGTCTTCCCTACGGTATAACTTTCCCTGGCAGGCCTACCGGCCGCTGGTCCGATGGCCTCCTTATCGTTGACTTTATTGGTAAGCCCGCATATATCCACCTAGCTGTACTATTAATATAATATAATATAGTATAATTAAGAAAGTAATTAATATATTGTTTGGGTGGTTACCAGATTTTGATCCTTTTGTTTAATGGATTGTTGAGATATGTGACTTACCTATTTATATTATTGTGTTGTGACGACTTTTAAAATGAGGGTAATGATATATTAAAAATGAGTCCGGAGCAAACCGACTTAGGAACAAGTCAAGCCAACTCGAAATGGACCGACCTTGTAGTCAGTCCTGAGGTCCCAAGACCAACTAACCCTGTCGACCCGAGGCTCCAAGGCCAACCCTATGGTCAGCCCTGAGCAAGAGGTGGGCAAGAACCTCGAGCTCGGCCAAGAGGTCAGCATGGACCTTGAGCTCAGCTGAGCTAGCTAACCAAATCTTGGTCAAAGAAGGCAGTAACCGCCCACTCATTTCGTACAGAGCGGTTACAGATCGGAGGTGGTACTAGTATAAATAAAATATTTTTTTTTTAAAGATAAAAGATCTTTCTTTGTTATTACTTATCTTGTTATTCTTGTATTCTCTTTACATACAACTCAATTTGACACTTTGTCTTTTAGCAAGTTCCATATTTATCTTTATATTTTATTCCCTTAATTAATATTAGTTAATTCGGTCCCCGGCCTGGTTAATTAATTTCATCCAATGAGATGGGTTTTAATTCTTTATCCTTTTATGGATAAGAAAGTAATTATCAACTTCAATATTTAGCTTTCATGCATGTATATATGTTTAATATTAATTTGGCAGTGCAGCTCGAGCTGTTGGGCTACCCTTGTTAAATCCCTACTTGGACAAGAATGCTTCCTTCACTAACGGTGTGAATTTCGCGGTTACCGCCAGTACTGCACTTGATATTGGTTTCCTAGCACAAAAGGGTGTTGTTGTCCCAAGTATTACCGTCCCTCTTAGTGGACAGATCAACTGGCTCAAAACTTACCTCTCCTCCTCCATCTGCGCCGCCCCGTCAGACTGTAAAGACAGACTAAAGAGAAGTCTGTTTTTTGTCGGTGAGATTGGACGAAATGACATCACTTTCGCGTTAGTACAAGGAAGAACCATTCAAGAAGTGGCGGCGTTTGTGCCCGACATAACAACCTCTGTTATCAATGCTGTCAGAGTATGTACATTTGTTCTACTTTTTTTTTTTTTTTTTTTCTGTCCCAAATCCCAATTAACGAACCATTATATTGCATACGAACGTACATGCAGGAAGTTATCCAGGTGGGTGGCAGGCGTATCGTAGTACCTGGGACATTTCCTTTAGGATGTTTTCCTAATCTGTTGAGTCAATTCGGGACCCAGGATCCTAAAGATTACGATGAACTAGGATGTCTGCGCAGCATCAACAACCTTACTATCTTCAGAAACAACCATCTCCAACAAGCTTTGGGATCGCTTAGGAAGGAATTTCCAGACGCCGTCATCCTTTACGCCGACTACTACGCAGCCTTCCAATCGTTTCTTGCTCGCGCGCCTTTACTTGGTTAGTTCCTCATTATATTTTTCAATCACTTTTAATTCAGGATCGGATCGATCCATAATTATATTGATGATGTGATTATATATTGTGTGTGGTACGATGTAGGGTTCCACCAGAACAAGTTATATATGACATGTTGCGGGAGCGGTGGAGGGCAATATAACTATGATAGAAACAAGGTATGTGGGTCCACAGGCGTGATTTCCTGCCCAAACCCACCTCAATACATACACTGGGACGGCGTACATTTAACCCAGAAAGCTCATCTTGCCATATCGCAAATAGTCATTCCCAATATCCTCTCGAGAATTCAGTGTTTCTAATGTAATACCATAAATAAATAGGTCCCTTATTAGATTATATTGTCGCCCATTCCAACTATATATTATATTGGACCTATAATAATAATAATAATAATAATAATAATAATAATAATAATAATAATAATAATAATAATAATGTAATTCCGCTTTTAAATTTATTATTTTTCTTTTCCTTTAAAGAATAGTTGAGTGAATAGTTAAAACGTACATGACTCTTTTTTTTGAGAACAAAAAAAAAAAAAAAATTTACAACTTTTTTTTTGAGTGAATAATTAAAACGTACATAACTCTTATATCACAAAATTACAAGTTTGATTCAATTCAAAAATCAAAAATCAAAAAGAAAATAATGAGAAGAATGTAAGACAGATAACTTTAGCAGCATTACAAGCAAAGTGATGATATTATAATTTATTAGGAGGATTGATGCGATGCCAATTGCCACAGGATCGAGCTGTTCCGAATGAAAGTCCATACACGACAAATACAATCACAATATAATAATATTGAATTGGTATATATATATATTTATGCGCATCAACCAATTCAATATTATTATATTGTGTATATATACTAATTTTTTACGCGCATTGTGCAAGTGAGATAATGTTCAATATTTTTTTTTTTAAATAAGTACTTTAAAGTATATATATCAATGCAAGATTATATTGAAATTGTTCATGCATAGATAATTGAATGTTGAATTTGCGTATTTAAATAGGTAATTCTAAGTTTACAAATGCAAGATAATATAGTTAAGATTGATTATAATTGTCAATAAAATAATTATATAGGTATAGTTGAAACCAAATACAGTACATAAGGGAGAACAAATAAAAATTAGGGCATAAAATATTAAATATATACTAATATTGAAGAGCTAGCTGCGGATTGCCAAACAAAGACATTGCGAGGTAGTTTCCCACTTCAATCTGTTGCATGTGTGATTTGAATACTCTTTTTGTCAATAAATCTCCAAGTAGTTAATATGATTGGCTTAACTATAATTTTTTTATTTTTTTATTTTTTAAAACAATTATTATTATTATTATTATTATTATTATTATTATTATTATTATTATTATTATTATTATTATTATTATTATTATTATTATTATTATTATTATAATACCCTTAGGTCATTTTACATGTTAATCTAGCTAATTTTTTCAAATATCTTTTTACCAACCGTTGATATAATTCAATCGTCAAATTCGCTAATATAATCTGCTAACTGCTGATTGTCAAACAAGGACATTGCAAGGTAATTTTCACTTCAATTTGTTGTGTGATTTGAATACTCTCTTTGTCAACAAATCTCTCAAGTAGGGGTGTCAAAGTGGGCCGAAGCCCGTGGGTTAGCCCATGCCCGCCCCGCAATGGGGCGGGTTAGGGCCGCAAGAAATTAGGCTCGCGAAAATGCGGGCCTAACGGGCATGGTCCGCGGAGGGCCAGAGCCCACGCGAGCAAACCCGCGCGGGTTGCGGGCTGGCCCGCGGGGCAGGCCATATTTAAAAAATAAATAAATAAATTATATATATAATATCCTTTTTAAAAAAAATCATATATATAATATCTTAATTCTTAGGTAATGTGTAGATCTAACTATCTAAGAGTACGCAAAAGGGAGAAATCCAATAATTCAATAATCCTTCGCCAATTCTTAATTCAATAATTCCTAGAGTACGTAGTTCTTCGGTTCTCCCGTCTCCACCCGCCTCCAACTCTATCAAATAATTACTAAAACTAAATCATCAATTCATACATATTTATGAATTACTAAATCCCCTCCAAGTCTAGCAAACATACATATTTATACATGTATTATACACAGACGGGAATTGTAAAGGGAAAATCTGAAGCCGAGAGAGAAATCGAGTGTGTTGTTGAACCCTAGCTTTGATCACCCTTCTACAGTTCTGCTAAACGCGCGGTATCGATTCGTGAGATTTGGGTGAGGTTTACGGATTTTGTGGAAGTTTCCGGTGTCATATTTCAAGCGATTTTAACATGTTTATATACTATTTAATATATTTTTAAAAAAATTTAAGTGATGGCCCGCGGACCAGCCCGCGACACCCGCAAGCCCGCATGGGACGGGCTTGGGTTGTATAGTTCCAAGCCCGCGGGCTGGCCCGCCAAATAAAAAGCCCGCGGTGGGGCGGGCCTAATGAGGCGGGTCGGCCCGTATTGACACCCCTACCCTCAAGTAGGTAATATGATTGGCTTTATTAATTATATTTTTTTAATTTTTTCATGGTATTAATAAAATACTTGGTAAATAAATATACAACATTATTTTGTATTATAACTTTGATATTTAATTAAAAAATAGTGCACAAAAAAAATAATAGGCAGTGTAGTGAATATAATCAATTGATGAATTTGAATATAAATAATTTTTACATTGGAGAAAAATAAAGACAATATAACTAATAAAATTATTTCTCTTAATTAATTTATTGATAATGAATAAATTTATTTTAATAAAGACATTGTAGGGACAATATAGCGAATATAATCAATTGATGAATTTGAAAGTAAAGAATTTTTATATTGGAGAAAAATTAAGACAATATAACTAATGAAATTATTTCTCTTATTTAATTTATTGATAATGAGTAATTTTTTTTTTGAATAAAGACATTGTAGACACATAATTCTAAATTAAAAAAATGCATTTGTATTATTTTTTGTTGTAGCTACTAAATTATTATTTCTATCTACAATTGTAATAAGAGCCAATAATGTTAGGCACTTAACTGGAACAAAAAAAAATGTCGATACTATTGTTTCTTAAAATGAATGGTTCATATTATTTTGATTTTAGTATTTTTTAATGATTTTCCTTATTTACCCTCAATTATATTATTTTCTTCCCTTAAATAACCTAAATTCCGTTAGTATAAACTTTAGTAGCGGAATATTCCGTTAAATATTTAATATTTTTAACTTACTCATTAATTTATATAAGAAAGGTCTTAGGTTCGAACCCCATCACAATTAGAGTTGGAATAATTGTTAAACATATACAAACGAATATGTTAAAATGTATATATATATACATACACACACACACACACATATATATATATATATAACATTCAAAGTTAAGCATAAAAAATTATGAATCAAAAATTTTAAAAATCATTTGATTTTTATGCATTTGATTTTTAGGTTAAGTTTTTTTTTTTTTTTTTTTTCGTTTAATTAATCTTCTTTTGATTATTTAGATCAGAACAAAACTTAATATTTCAATTATATTTTTGCATTATTGGTATGATTTAGGCCGTTATGGTATTAATATTTTTTGTATATATTTTTATAATAGTACAATTGTACATTATTTTACAAATATTGTACTATTATTTTTTTTATTAGACAAGATTGTTTTTAAATCATTGTCAGACATACGCGACCTAACTACAAAGTTGTTATCATAAATACAATTACACCTGAACTCTAAAACGGTAGGACCATTTTCCAAAGAATTGACAATGTTGATATCCCACTGGCTCCAATTGAACAAGTTTACACATCAGAATTTTATCAGTGCATGAAAGCTTGAAAAGAAATTTTTAAGTTAATTTTTACTATATCATTATAACAATATCCATTGTAACTATATATTTTAAATTATTTATTATCATCCTCTATTGACAATAATTGTAACAATTGTCATTATTGGCAAACTTTTAAAACAATTTGTCTCAACAATGAATGTAAATTTTTTTTTTTAAAAAAATCAATGATTTCATTATTGTTGATGAAAAGTATGTACGCCAATTTATTACACTTATTAAATTAAATAAATTAGTAACTACAACAAAAAATAATACATATGCATTTAATTAATTTAGAATTAGATGTCTATAATGTCTTTATTTAAGAAACTATTCATTATAAAAAATTTAAAAAGAGATATAATTTCATTAATTAGTTATATTATCTTTATTTTCTATAATTCAAAGATTCATTACCTTCAGATTTATTAATTTATTATTTTCACTGTAATGTCCATTGTCTTCTTTTTACATTATCTTGTAATTAAATATCAAAGTTATAATGCAAAATATGTTATATATATTTATTTACCAAGTATTTTATACAAATATAATAAATATTAATATTTTGTTCAATACTTTCACATGATAACCTACGACACACATCTCACAATGCATGAAACATGTAGGGGGAAAACTACCACGCACTGTCAAATATCAATAGGTGCTTGTACGATAAAGAGTTAATAGTACAACTAAGATTTCATCATATACACAACACGGCAAATCTAAAGCTTCCTACATCATAATCTCATTGCACGACGAATCCATCTATGCTACCACCAGTAACCCAATTGCACATGACACACTACCAAAAACAAAAAAGGACATGTACTGAAGATGAAGACAATAACAATGCTACCCAAAAGAGAATTAAGAGGAATTAGAGAAATTTAAACCAAAAGTATAATTTATTTAGACTATCATTTTGAGACTAAGTATTTAGACTAGTGTTATTAAAAATTTGCAAACATTTATTTTAGTAACAATATAATCAATCTCTCATATATTGTCTTGCATTTATATACTTTAAAGTACGGATTTAAATAAACAAATTCAATATTTATTTACCAAAGCATGAACATCTCCGATATAATATTGCATTGATATACTTTGAAATACTTACTTAAGAATAATCATTGGGCATTATTCAATTCGCGCAAAGCGCGTAAAAGAACTAGTAATAATTTAATAAGAGTAAAATAGAGTACTAATTATGCCAATTTTGATTGGGATGAGGTTCGAACCTAAGACGACCTTTCTTATTGAAAACAATGAGTAAGTTAACAGTGAACTAACAAAAATTAACGGAAAAGATAATATTTAACGGAAAAGTTAACAGATAATCATATTCATCAAAGACAAATTAGAAAATCGTAAGAAAAAATTAAAATCTGATTAATCTGAGTCATTCATTTGATTAAAAAATTTGACCATCATTTTTTCTACCCATTATAAACCTAACTCTTTTGGG